TATAAAATGTCCAGACTCCAGTTATTGGAGCATCACGTACAATTCTAGGAAGAATCCAAGAAGTTCTCTTTATGAGGTTAAGTCTATCACTTGTGGGATAGTTGCTGTTAATTTCTCCAAAAAAAAATTAGCACAAGCTCTTTGCTATGGTTCATTATCTTCCCATAACTTTCTTATTTCCTCAGTAGTAAAAGGCACTATAATTCCTGCTGGGTCTACACCTGCTAGTTGATGAAGTCTCAGTTTACCTCTTATAAATAATTCAGAGACTTTTTCCACATAAGTTTTTAATTTTTTAGTTGGTTTATGAGGTATAAATATCCACTCTAAAATAATATCTTCCCTCTGCATTAAAATCCCTGTAGGAGAAATTCTGGAAGGCAGTATGACTAGGATTGAACTAAGATTCAGGTTCACCCTATCCACATGTGCCTCCTGTAATTTTTCTTCAATCATTGTCAGTTCTTTTTCTGTTTCAGCTGTCAATTTTCTGGGACTATTCAAATCTTTATCACCATCTAAGGTTTTGTTTAAATGAACTATTAGATCAGGTGTTGTCCCAACAGCTGGTCGTAGACTGGAAATGTCTCCTAACAATCTTTGGAAGTCATTAAGAGTCCATAACCGGTCTCTCCTAATTTGTGCCTCTTGCGTTCGAATTTTCTCTAACCCTATTCTGTAACCTAGGTAATTAATAGAATCTCCTCGTTGAATCTTTTCAGGGGCAATTTGTAATCCCCACCTAGGCAAGACTTTCTTTACTTTTTCAAACATACTTTCCAAAGTATTTTTATTTGAATCAGATAATAAAATGTCATCCATGTAATGATAAATTATGAACTTGGGAAATTGCTTATGTATTATTTCCAATGCCTTATTAACAAAATATTGGCACAGTGTGGGACTATTGAGCATCCCCTGTGAGAGGACAGTCCATTGATATCTCCTAGTAGGCTGAGAATTATTATAAGTGGGCACTGTGAACCCAAATTTTTCTCTATCCTTTTCTTGTAAAGGCATAGTGAAAAAACAATCTTTCAAATCAATAACTATAAGAGGCCATCCTCTTGGTAAAAGAGAAGGCAAAGGAATTCCAGATTGTAGCGGACCCATAGGTTGAATTACCTTGTTGACAGCTCTTAGATCTGTCACCATTCTCCATTTACCAGATTTCTTTTTTACAACAAACACAGGAGAATTCCAAGGGCTGGTTGATTCTTCAATATGGTTAGCATCTAGTTGCTCTTGTACCAGCTGTTCCAAAGCCTGTAATTTATCTTCAACTAGAGGCCATTGCTTGATTCATATTGGCTTCTCAGTTAGCCATTTTAAAGGTAGGGCTGTTGGTACCTCTAAAGGTTTGCTATTTGCTGTATGTTCTTGTACAGCCTGAATGGCTGGTGACCTTTTTCAATAATACATCATTATATACTTCCCAGAATTGTGAGTTCCTGGAAGTACAGGAATGTTAATCTGGGTATTCCATTGCTGTAGCAGGTCACGGCCCCATAAATTTATTGCAGTATTGGCTATATATGGCCTTAGTCTTCCTATTTGCCCTTCAGGTCCTATGCATTCAACCCACCTCATGCTTTGTTTTACACGAGATAGGGTTCCAATTCCCAGAAACTGAAAATATCTACCTCTTGAAGAGGCCAATTCAGATGCCAAGATTCTGGAGTAATGATACTTACATCCGCACCTGTGTCTAATAAGCCTTCAATAAAAATGCCATTTATACAGACTCTTAGCTTTGGCCTTTGATTGTTAATAGAAGTCTGCCAAAATATATGTTTACTCTGTCTTACTGAATTTTTTGACTCATTCTCCACATGTAATTCATCATTTAGACCAGTATCACTTTTTACGGCAGACATTGGAGTTTTCAATTTTCTTGGTGAGACACATTTTCCACTGTAACTGGGAATGACTGGACCACTTTTGGCTTGGGGTTCTGCAAGAGGCCCCTCAAGGAGTTTCCCAATGGTATTGGGTTGCCTTGACTGTCTGTTGTTGACCTGCATTCGTTGGACCAATGTCGGCCTTTACCACATCTCCTACATATACCTGAAGACTGAGGTCTCCTACTTTTGTCATTCCCAGAGGAGATATTATTCCTAGAATTTCTTTGCCTGCAATCCCTTTTCAGATGTCCTAATTTACCACAATTAAAACACCTGGTAGTTTTATGTCTCCTCATAGCTTTGGAAATCACTTCTCCTACCCAGGATTCATCATTATAGCTAAACGTCTCAACATTCATTGTATGCTGTAGCCATTCTTCCATAGGTGCTGCTCTAGACCTTAAAGGCCCAATTATCTTTTTGCATTCTGTGTTTGTATTTTCAAAAGCTAGAGATTCAAGAAGTATTCATCTAGCTTCTGGGTCTGTTACCCCTATGTCCAGAGCCTTAATTAATCTTTGCACAAAGTCAGTAAAGGGTTCTCTCTGTCCCTGCCTAACCCTGGTATATGCTTCGACCCTTTTAGCTGGATCTTGTATTCTATTCAAAGCATTCAAGGCTGCTTTGTGATATAATGACAGTACTTCTTCATCATAAAGAGCTTGGACTTGTGGATCAGCATATGCTCCTACACCAAGAATTTGATCTTGGGAAACCTCCACACCTTTTGCTCTTCCTTGCTGTTCCATATGTTTGGATTCTTCTCTGAAATAAATTCCAAACATCAAGGAAGGTCCATCATCTAAAACTGCAGACACTAGCTGAGAGAAATCATGGGGGGTAGCTCTGACATTAGCCCAAGTCCTTATCATTTCCTTAACAAATGCAGAGTGCAAGCCATAATTAACGACAGCTTGCTTAATTTATTTTAAATCATTCATTGCTATTGGCGTCCATCTAGCTTCTTTAACTCACTTTGAGCCTTTAGAAGTTGACGCTTTTTCAGAATAAATTACAGGGTATGTCGTTAGAACCCTGGGTAAGCCAGTTCTAACAGCTGGTGGTGGCATTGTATCCTGTCCTTATGCCTTCTTACTCTGTTCACCAGCTCCAATAATTTCTTCAATCATTTCAAATCTTTTTATCATTGTCTCTCTTAAATCCTGAATCTCCTGTCCTACATGTGTTTCTAGGGATTTCACTAAGGTATCAGTATTTTTGTTCCCATTCTGAAGGTACATTCTATCTGTTACCTTATCCAAACTTTGTGATAACATCTGAATGTCAAATTCAACAGCCTGAACCCTTTCAGGTAGCTTCCTAGTACCCTTGGATATGGAGTCAATTTTGTCTATCATAGTATCCACTTGTTCAGATAAGCCCTGATTTTCAATAATTTTAATCCTTTCAACTAGTTGTTCATTATTAGTCCATAAAAATCGTATCTTCCTTAATGATAGAATATTGAAAAGAAAACTGAAACCTCGTAACAAGTAAATTAATGTATCCCCATAGTCATATAAACCTTGCATGACATAATCCATTATATTAATAAAAAAAACAGTAAGATTGGAGTTGGAAACAAAAACTGCCATATTATCTCTTATCTAGTAGGCGGCGCTGTTGCCAAGTCACGACTAGAACCACTGCAAAGGTGATGAAAACGGGGTCCTGTTTCAGTGTCCACCTTAGTATTTGTTAAAAACTAGGAAATATAAGTTGCTCAACAAAGAAAATGTAATTAAATCAATTCCATACACGGAACCAGAAACCCAGAATCCAGGGGTAGAGAAGAGCAACCCGGAAGCCGCATATGCCTCCACATGACCAAGTCACCCAGAGGAGTTGCTGCTTTTGGCAACCGCTTGTGTTCTGATTCACGCCACTCAAGTGCCACACTTGCAAGGGAGATTTGATAGTTTATATTGAACTGCTGGCTCCACACACAGGGCACAGGCCATAGCTGAGGGAGGACTTGTGCCTAGCCAAGCTGGCAGCAGGCAGCTGAGTGGGGGGAAGGGGGGCGTTCTATAACCAAATGTTGGGCGCCAGATGAAGGCATAAGTCACAAACAATCCCACACCAGTTTGGAATTATGATTAATAGAATGGTTATTTATTCAAAGGGGAAAAAACTTACAGATTACCGTCCCAAACAACAGCCCCTCTGCACGATCAGGAAAAGGAGTCTAGGAGCCGGAAGCGGAGCTGGAAGCCAGAGAGAGAATGGAGGACAGCCACTGCTTTTTTAAAGAGAGAGAGACCACACCCCAGTGGGCTAGTATCTAAGCAGCTATTGGCTGAAGGAGCGGAAGGAGCTCCTGCAGCAATACCAACTGACTTAGATGAGATTTTTTCTGATGAAATAAAACACCAAGATCAAAACTAACTTGGAGAGGAAAGTTTATTTCATCTTACAGCTTGCAGGGAAGCCAGGGCAGAAACACAGAGACCTGGAGTTAGGAACGAAGTGGAGACCAGGAAGGAGTGTGGCTTCCTAGCTTGTCAATCTCTGTTGCTCCCTCCATTTTCTTACACACCTCAGGAGCTCTTGCTCAGAGGTAGAGCCACCCACAATGGGCTGGGCTCTCCCACACAAATCATCAATCAAGAAAATGCCCTGCAGATTTGCCTGTAGAGCGATCTTATTTTCTCAATTAAAATTCTCTCTTCCCAGATATGTCTAGGTTTGTATCAAATCGACAGAAACCAGACAGAACACCAAACCCCTGAAAAATGTCACCAAAGAAGCCTCCAAGATTGTATATAGGGCTATTTGTTAAACAAGTCTGACTCTTCATTGAGAAAGCCTACACACATTTTCAGACTATCATTCCATTTCCTAACCGACCCCTTTTGACTTAATGTTTGTGCATAAAAATATATGTTAAAGCCTCTTCCTAAATCAACTTTGCTATTAGAGTACAAAGAGAGAGAGAGAGAGAGAGAGAGAGAGAGAGAGAGAGAATTTACAGCACATGTCCCCCACTCAGAACTGAGGACTAAGCCCTTATACTAGCCAGGCAAGCACCCCACCACTGAGCCAAATCCCCAGAGCCCCAAATCAAAAAGTCAGCATCACAAATTAGCTTTTTACCTTGGCATCAGAATTATATCTGTCCTCTCCTGTTGTAGAGCTGGGGCCTTTGGAGAGCCTGCAGAGCACAGACTGCAGTGAGAGGCAAGCTTCAATTTTCTTTAAGTCCTAAGAAAACTAAGCCATCTAGTTTTGTTTTATTTTGGTTTGGTTAAGTTTATTTGAGACAGGGTTCCTCTGTGTAACAGCCCTGGCTGTCTGGGAACTCACTCTGTAGACCAGGTTGGCCTCCAACTCTGAGATCTGCCTGCCTCTGCCCCCTGAGTGGGAGATTGAAAGTGTGCTCCACCACAATATGACAGTTTTTACTTGTTTCTATGTCAACTTCTGAAACAGATTCATCTTTCTGCTTCTACTTCTTTCAGTCCAGAATGTTCTCAAGGAACACTCCCTCTGGATTCCATGGTCAAGAGCAACAGGATAATTTGCACAATGTCCTCTCTTTAAAGATGAGCTGAGGGTTCAAGGACTGGTTCTTGTAGCTTTTGTTGCCTGGATTTCCCCAGCTGAGAAAACCCTTGAAAACGTTAATCAGAAGTCTAAAGGTAGAAAAGTCAAAGGAAAAGCTGTCCATTGTTATTGGGCTGGAATGAAAGAGTCAAACATTAAAAACTAAAAAACTGGAGAGATGACCCAGTGATTAAGAATGCTGCTCTTGCAGAGGACCCAGCTTTCATCCTAACAGTCACCCGGCAGCCCACAGCTGTGTGTAACTCCAGTTCCACCCTCTTCTGGCCTCTGTGGGCATCAGTCATGCAAGAGATTCATAGACATACATGCAGGCAAAACACCTGTACATATAAAAATAATTTTTAAAAAATATTGAGGGAGAGAACTCAGGAGAAGACAACCACATTTTCTGCTAACTTTGACATTAAAAAACCCAAACAACCAATAAGACCACCTAAAGCCAGAAGACTATCTATACACCTTGTGTGAGTCTCGCAATTGGGATGGAAGAGTGGTGCTCTGATCCTAAGTAAAGGACTTAACCCTCCTGAGATGCCCTGGGAGTCTATCGCAGGGGAGACCATACCTAGCAGGTGCGAATCTCAGCTCAATCACCAGTCCTGCTAAAGTAAAGGTCCTAAGATAGAGAACTCTGTACCTGTCACTCCTCCAACCTAGTCCAGTGTTTGCTTGGCTTCTGGTCCATGAAGTCAACTAACTCCCGGCCAAGCCAAAATTTCCCAGACTGGACTGTGAAATCTCATTGGATATATAAGGATGGAGTGGTTATAACTACTAAAAATATACATTTGAAGCTAACCAGTATTGTAATATAACCACTTACACTTGAAAGGTTTCATAAACAGTGTAACTTTGTGCGGTTGCTCCATAGACATCCACCAAAGACATATCAGCACCCTGCTGGAGAAGAAGGCTGATCATGTCTTTAGACTGAGCTCTCACAGCATGGATGAGGGCAGACCTAAAAGAACAAATGGAATGTTACCCTGACACACTTTGTTTGTCTGTTTAATTATTTATTTATTTATTTTGAGACTGGGACTCTCTACATAGCCCTGGTTGTCCTGGTACTTATTAGGTAGACCAGGTAAGTGCCACCAACACCAGGCTTCCTGACACACTTTATTAAAGTCATACAAACAACTGTCTGAGTTCCCCTTTTGCCTGTGTGTTAGAGTAGTCATTAGCAGTTAAGAACAGACAAAACCATTGGGTATTGCCATTCACTGATCTTTGTTACCTCTAATGCTAACGGGAAGAACCCAGAGCCCTCCTGCCCACTGCTGTGCTGCTCAGTAGAATTCCATGCCATGCAGGGGCTAGTGCTATGCCTAGATCATTTACCTGAAGTGGGCAAAGTTAAATGAAGAAGTCTCCATGACTTCCTTAGCCTGACGTAATAGACCACAATTCATAGTCAGCAACAAGCCAAATAAGGAAAAGTTATTGGTGTTATTTCAAAAGTTATTAATATAAAATATTAGTAGTAAAGATAATAGCAGGTTGGAAAAATGACTCAGAGGTTAAAAACACTTGTTTGTTCTTGCAGAGGACCTAGGTTATGTTATCAGCACCCACATGGTGGCTCACAACCAACTATAGCTCCAGCTCCAGAGGATCTGACACCCTCTTCCGACTTCCTTGGGTACCAGACATGTATGTGGTACACAGAAATCTATGCAGAAAAAAACATTCATAAACATCAAAAATAAATAGAACTTTAAAATTAAAGATAATTTTTGGTAACAGTGATTTAGTTAATGAGGCTGACTACCTTGTGCTAGGTGCTGATATCAATGCTATACAGACAAGTGAAAACAACTCTTCAAGAACGTTAACCTGATTTTGGCAGGCTAGAGAGCTAGCTCAGTAGTTAAGAGCACTTAATGCTCTTGTAGAGAAGACCCAGTTATGGTGGTTCAAAACTGTGACCCCAGTTCCAGGGAATCTGATGCCCTCTTTTTGTCTCTATGAGCACTAGACAGACAAATGGTGCACATGTATACATACAAGCAAAACATTCATACATATAAATAAGATAAATGATAAAAAGGAATATTATCCTTATGTTTAACTCAGAAAATATATTTGGTGATAAATAACATTTGTGAGGCCATGCATTAATCAGGAAGGCACAGATAATAAACCCAGTCTTGTGAGTCTAAGTCATCTTTATCCATCTCTTATAACTTACTTTCATTACTGGAAGTTTACTCGGGTGAAATTAGGTTAGCTCCTCTGTACATGCCAGTCCAGTGAGTAGACATCTACTAAAGTTTTAAGGGTTGAGGAGTTGGCCCAAGGAGGTTGTACCACTGAGGTAATTAGATCACATCGGTGCTAACGTCATCTGTATATTAATTCATTTGTGAGATTGTTGATAGCTTGTCTATTAGGATGCGGGTTCTGGGGGAGGACCTGGGTCACTAGGGAGTGTCCTTTGAAGGGTGTGCCTTGTCAAGGTGACCTTCTGTTTTTCTGTGTCCTGGCTTCAAGGAGATGAAACCTTCCCCTGCTTCATGTCCCCACTTCCTGTCATAGTCTACCTTGCCTCTGGCTCCAAGGTAACTCTAGCCCACTGTGGATTGGAGCCTGTGAAACTGTGACACAAAATAAATCTTTCCTCCCCATTAAATGATTTTTTCTATGTATTTGGTCAGACTAGTGACTAGCTGAACACATCAACATAAACCAGACAAGGACAGGGAGACATTGAGCAATATCTAATAAGACACAATCTAGTCATTTGGAGATAATCCAACACTGATATTCTTCAAACAAAGCAACCTAAAGCAAAGAACCATCAAAGATATAAAACACTTTTCAAAAGTATTTCTCACTAATATAGCATTTTAGAGGAAATGTATGCAAGAGACAGAGGTGGGAAATACTGTAAAATTGTTAAGAATTTCATTGGAATCTTAAACTAGCAGTTTACACTCCTAAAAATAAGACTAATGTGAAACTATTTTAGTTAATATAAAATCATATGACTAAAAAGTTGACTTGAAGTAACAAAGATCAGTCAATATTAGAAGGAAATGTGATCCCTGCCATATAGTTTTGTGTGTGAGAGAGAGAGAGAGAGACAAAGTTGAACATTTAATTTCTACCTACATGTTAATTTGTTTTAATGTGTTTCTTATAAATGTAAGCTAAGTTCTTATGAATTTAGTATTGATGTTTTAAATTATTGCAACCACTCTAGAATGTTGGAAGTATTTAAAAGGTGTTTGAAAGTACCTCTTGTAGTTATCCAGGGCATTTATATTGGCTGCGGCCCGTAACAACAGCTCCACCATCTCAAGTTTGTTTTCCAGCACTGCCAGTATAAGTGGTGTGTAGCCATTCTGTGAAAACAAAAACAGTTTACAACTCTCGCAATTACATATTTCTCAGTCAGCTGCAAATCTACTAAGGCCCTGTGAAGGCAACTGTCTGGGCTGGTTTTGTGTGACATCTTGACACAAGCTGGAATCATCAGAGGAAGGAGCCTCAGCTGAGGAAATGCTTCTAGAGCTCCAGCTGTAAGGCATTTTCTCATTTAGTGAGAAAGCAACGGGGCAGGGCCCAGCCCATGGTGGGTGGTGCCACCCCTGGGGCTGCTGGTCCTGAATTCTTTAAGAAGACAGACTGACAGCGGAGCACTGGACTGAGCTCCCAAAGTCCACTTGAAGAGAGGGAGGAGTGGGAATATGAGCAAAGAGGTCAAGACCATGATGGGGACACCCACTGAAACAGCTTTCCTGACCTAATGGGAGCTCACCAACTCTGGTCGGAGAGGGCAGGACCAAACTAGACCCTGTGAATGTGGGTGACAGTGTATGGTTGGGGCAGACTGCAGGGCCACCAGGATTTTTCCCAACTGCTTGGGCAGGCTTTTTGGAACCCATTCTCTTTGAATGGGTACCTTGCTCAGCCTAGATATAGCAGGGAGGGCCTTGGTCCTTCCTCAAAGCAATATGCCTTACCCTCTCTGAGGAGTAGATGGGGGTGGGGGGAAAGGTGGAAGGGATGGGAGGAGGGGAGGTAATGGGAACTGGGATTTATATGTAAAATGTAAAAAAGACAATTTGTTTCCTTTTTATAAAAAAATAAAATAAAATAAAAAGAAGGTAGACTGAGCAAGCCATAAGAAGCAAGTCAGTCAGCAGCACTGCTCCATGGCCTCTGCATCAGCTCCTGCTCCAGGACCCTGCTTTTGGTCATGATGTTTTGTCACAGCAATAGAAATCCTAATGCAGACAGATTGGTATCAGAAGTAGGGTATTGCTGTGACAGACCTAACCATGTTTCCGTGAGGTTTGTGGAAGGAATTTGGAACTTTGGGCTAGAAGAGCCATTCAGTGTTAAGAGCTCTGTGGGACGTTCTGTTGATCTTGGAAGATAAGAATGTTGAGAAAAGTGGAGAAAATGGAGGCCCAGCCTGTGAAACTTTAGAGTCAATATTAGAGACTAATATTGCTGTTTTGAATTAAGATCCTGTGGTTCTGGTTAGCTGAGGCTGAGGAGTCAGCTGTGATTAACATGAAACCCGAACTACTAAAGCAAACTTTGCTGTAAAGGGATCATTGATGCTGGTCAGCTGGAGCTAACAAATTAGTGGTGATTGAGACTAGCTTCACTGAAGTGAACTCTTCTGGTGTTTCCTGAGAGCACAGGGAAGCTGTGTTCCAGAGGTGGCCAAGGTTGTACCACATGTTGGTAGCCAGACTTGGCATTGTGTAAGAATCACCCAGATGATACTGGTTTTGAAGGCATGAAGGGGTCATGGAGAGCAGCTGAGACTTGGCACTGTGAGAGGCCAGGAGAGGCCATTGGTACAGGTGCAGCCTCAGTGCAGTCTAAGGCCCAGGCTAAAGGAGCCATGCAAAGAAGTTGAAGCCTTACACCATAAAGACAGCCTATGAGAGGCTATTGGTGAAAGCACAGCCCAGTTGCAGCAAGGGGCCCCAGCATTTTGGAGATGCCAGTACCATTGGAAGATGACCAGCCACAGCAGCAGTGGAGCAGAGCCAGCTGGAGCCTAGAAGATAAACTATGTGTGTTGCAGAGGGCAGAGCTTGAGAAGTGACCCAGGCCCTTTGGAGGAGTCCAGAAGATCACGAGTAAAACCCAGATAGTTAGACCTTGAATTGTTTATGCTGAAAGACTTGAACTTTTAAAAGAGATTGGCTATTTCTTATTTTATTTTATTTAAATAATATTTTTTATTTATTTTACATACCAACTGAAGTTTCCCCTTCCTCCTCTCCTCTCCTCCTCTCTTCCGGATTCCCCACCCCCACTATCTATGCCCTTCCCCTTCTATTCCTACTCCATCTCCATTCAGAAAGGGGCAGGCCTCCCGTGGGCTTGCACAAAGCATGGCACATCAGGGTGAGGCCGGACCAAGCTCCTCTCCTTGCATCAAAGCTGAGCAAGATACTCTAGCATGGTGAACAGGTTCCCTAAAGTCAGTTAAGTGCCAGGGGCAAGTCCTGATCTCTCTACTGGTAGTCTTACAAAGAGACTAAGTGACACATTGTCATACACATCAGAAGACCTAGGTTGGTCCCATGGAGTCTCCCTAACCGTTAGTCCAGAGTCCATGAGCTCCCATGAGCTCAGGTCAGTTATCTCTGCAGGTTCCCCTGTCATGACCCCCTGACTCACACAATCCCTTTTCCCTTTCTTCAGCAAGACTCCAAGATCTCAGTCCAGTGCTTAGCTGTGAATCTCTACCTCTAAGTTACTGAATAGAGAATCTCTGATGACAATTAGGTAATCAATCTGATTATAGCAGATGGCCGGTTCAGGATTACTATTGCTAGGATTCTTAGCTGGGGTCATCCTCTTTCATTACATTCCCTCTCCATCCAGCCTCCAACCCAGCTCTTGCCTCCCAGGGATCGGGAACAGATGGCCAAAGGTTGCCTGTCAGGCAGGGACACCTGTTGTGGAAAACTGAATTTGCTGAACAGTGTCAAATCACAGCTAAGATAAAGTGGTCCAAATAAATTTCCATTACTTTTGATATGCTTGCTGGAGAAGGCATTTATCAGGAGACAGATCAGCAGTAAAATTATGATGTGGCAGTGTATGCCCAGATTAGTGCAGCTGCCAAGAAGGCCTGAAATAAGTTTCCATCTTCTGGAAAGTATAAGAGAACTTTAGGTCTTTGTCTCTAGGCTGATGCCAACAACAGGCAGGTTAACTGGGGATGGAAAATCTAGGCCTTTGTTAACGAGTTAGTGTATGAGAATGCTAATGCTGCCTATCAGGCTGTTTTGAGATCTTTTAGAAAAAAAGACAACATTTCTGATTATATTCACCTTTATTCAAATACTGGGCCCTCGAATAGTCAGGGCTTAGTTATGGCTGCTACATTACAGGGGAAATTAGTTAAGGATGTTCTCTTCTGATAAAGAAATCAAGGCCCAGGGAGAGGGAGAACTAACAGATCTCCTGGAAGTTGCTTTGGATGTAGTCAGATGGGGCATGAGATCAAGCAGTGTCCTGATAAAGGGACCAAAAAAAGAGATGCACGAGAGAAAAACATTGGGCTAATGTATGAAAATAAAAAGGATGCCCTGGGAATCCCCTGCAGGGAAATCGGCAGGGGGCCTTCCTCGGGCCCCCCAAAATGTTATAGGGCAACTCAGCAGTCTGTCCCTCCATAAGGAAATCCATTTAAGATCTCTGCAGAGCAACCCCAAACAGTGCAGTGTTGGATGTCAGTTCTTCCATCTACACAGTTTTAACTCCCCAAATTGGGGTGCAAGCTCTCCTCTCTGGTGTTTATCGATCTTTGCCAAAATGCACTGTAGAATTATTGCTGGGGAGAGGTAGTACTACCATGCAGCTCCCAGCATGATTGACACTGATTATGAAGGAGAAATCAAGGTTATGACTCACTCACCTAATAGAATTTCTATAGTAAAGACAGGCCAGAGACCTCCCCAATTAATTTTACTTCTCCAAGTGCAAACAAGAAATCAAGTTAAAAGAGGTAAAAGAGGAGAAGCTGGGTTTAGTTTATCTGGTGCCTATTAGCTACAAGTCATAGGTTCACAGTGCCCAGAATTCACTTTGTTTATAAATGGAAAGAGCTAATCTGGCCTCCTGGAGACTGCTGCAGATGTGTCTGTTATCACTGCCAGTCAAGGGCCTTCAATGTGGCCAAAGATGGAAACTATTGCACAGCTACCAGGGATTGGTCCTGAGCAAAGTAACAAGAAACTTTCCTGGAAAAATGAAGAAAGTCATGAAGGAACTTTTCGGCCATATATTGTTCCCCACTTGTCTGTAAATTTATGGGGTTGAATTGTGATTAGTCAAATTGGAGTGTATTTGTATAGCCCCAATGCAGTTGTTGCTATCCAAATATTCCAACAAGGATTGCTACTCAATTGGGGCTAGGCAAGGAAAATGAAGGAAGAACTGATCCTATCATAGCTAGCAAGAGACCTTCCAAAGCAGGATTAGGATATTTTTAGGAGAGATCACTAGAAACCTGCACTCCGTGCAGACCCTACTATTTGGGAAAGTGAGGACCCTGTATGGGTGGATCAGCGGCCTCTAACATAAGAGAAGACACAAACTGCCCAGCAGTTAGTGCAGGAACAGCTGAATAGTGACTATGTTGTACACTCTAATTATCCCTGGAATTCTCCTATTTTCCTGATTGAAAAGAAATCTTAGAAATGGAGATTAATACAAGATTTAAGGAAAGTTAATGGAATCATTCAGCTAATGGGAGCTTTACAACCTGGATTGCCTTCTCCTACAGCCATACCAAAAGACACCTATAAAATTATTTTAGATTTAAAGGATTGTTTTTACCACCTCTTTGGCTCCCCAAGATTGTCAAAGATTGGCATTTAGTGTTCTACAATTAATTTCAAAGAGCCCATGAGGAGATAGCATTTGAAGATATTGCCCCAGGGTACGGCTAATAGTCCAATTTATGAAAGTATATAGTACTCATTATATAGATATTTTGCTTGCCCATAAGAAATGAAGGAGTTTTACTTGCAACATATGGACAGCTTCAGCAGGGCCTTGCCCATGCAGGGTTATTAAATGCCCCAGAAAGTGCCCCAGAGTCAGCCACCTTTCCAGTATTTGGGACACATTTTGTATCCTAAAGAAATTAACCCTCAGAAAATGAAAAATAGAAAAGATAATATTCAAATTTTAAATGATTTTCAGAAATTACTGGGGGATGACCCTATTTGAAGTTGTCTATGTAAGATCTTGAGCCACTGAGTGAGATTCTTAAGGGAATAGTGATCCTAGCTTCCCTAGGCATCTTACAGATGCTGCTAGACAAATGTTGGCTCAGGTGAAGCATGTCATTCAACATCAG